TGAACATCTGTAAGCCACCCCGAATGGGTGGCTCGTTTGAAAGGGACCTGAATAACTTGAAAGACTTCACTTTTTAGCTGCTACGCCTTTACTCTGTCAACTCGGAGAAGCAAACTCACCAAAAGCAACAAGAATGGTGCCTTTTGATTTTGGGTCAGAGACAAACTCTAGAAGTTCGCCAGTCAGTGGTTTCGCTGTTGGACAATATGCACCATAATCGAAGAGCTGTAATTGGCTGTAGTAAAGGCGCAAGGAAATCTGAACGTTCATTTCTACCTCTCCTCATTTCTTTTTCTTTTCGTCATTCAATTTTTTGTTTTATTTCTAGAGAATGCTGTGTAAAAACAGGGTAAAAGATTAAAAACCACATTGAGGGTCTTGCTAGGTCTGTTTCCCACTCAAAGTCTTGAGCGGCACAGAATCCGCACCTCCCAGTTGTGGTAAGCATTCAATGGATGGAACTGAGTAGCGGATGACGAGTGAAATGGGGTACATGTATCCGCAGTGGACGGGTCATGCCCCAGGGTAGGTAATTGCGATATGAAAAGTTCGTACTTCATTCCGAAGCAACCTATAGATAGGAAGAGATGGATTAGGGTGACCAACAGTTATACAGATGAATCGAGAGAGATACATCGACAATGGGCTTAGTAAGCGCTAAGATGGATTGGGTTTATAGGTATGGTGCGCGGCTCTTCGCTACGATTGTCGCTTCCCCACATTTCCTTCTGCGGTATGCCCCACCAACAGGGTACATAATTAATTCGGGATTTTGGTCGAGATCGTACGAACCTGCCCCTAAAAGGTGGTTTTCATACGACCCGCCCCTCTACTCAACGAGCGAGCCAAATGCGAAGCTCCCCGTTAGATAGTTGCCACCGACAGAAAATTGGCACTGATAACTATTCCATACCCAAGAAAAACACAAACAAAAAAATTTTTAGCCCGAAACGTTGCCTATAAAATGTAGTCCCCCTGATCACAAATATCACATTCGTTTTGAGCGCTGGTGCCATTTGGCACCATTGTGTGCCAGTTTGGCGCCACATCACTTTTTTCACCATAGTGGATGACTACTTGATACTTGGCCGGTTATTTGAGGCTCCTGGTTCTTACAATCCGAGCATGGCACACCATGACGCCAAATGGCGCCAGCGCTCGAAACGATTGTGATATTTGTGATCAGGGCATCGAACTACATCTATAGGCAACGTTTCGGCGAAAAAAATTTTTTTTGATTCTGACAAAGCGCCGAAAAATCAACTGAAAAAATCCTCAGACCAAGTACGACCCCTCCCACAACGACAAGGTGCAATCTCCCTGTTGAGGAATTCCCAGCGATGATGTGCCAGAGGGTGTGATGTGTTCCAGAAGCTTTCCGCTGACCGGGAGGAGGGGGGTATAGCATGATGCAGGACAAGTCAGCACTTAAAAATGTCTAGGGACAACCGCGCCTCTCGCCGTCTGGCGATCGAATTCGCCCCGACTATTATACACAGTATGGCTTTAGGCACTTACATCATTCGTCCTAGGCGACGGACCAATGAGATCGAACGGCATATCTGTGAAGGTAGCTGACGCGGTTCTTTGGTACTCGAAAAAGCTGAAACATGGTTGGCGAAACTCTAAAGCCAAAATAATCAATAGCCATATAGCAATTTCGATCCATGCTATCTAATCAAAAGGGGATTTCAGAAATAATTATTGTGCCGATTATCTTCCAAAGGCGCACTTCCCAAGGGCTCTCAGTTAAGGATTTTCGTCCATTTCGGTGTCAACGTAGTTCAGGCGTCTCGAGTTACTTGTAAACGGCGAAGTCTCCCTCTTCCATCCTTCTTTCTTAGTGCTTCCTTCATTTCCTTCTTCCTCTCTTCCTTTTTCTTTCTCGCTTTTCATCTGCTGAGCCAGTGGATAAAAGGATAAAGTCTTCGCCGTTGATCAATCCCTTTGTGGGATGCGGCACGCATTCTACTTCCATTCAGAATCGTAGTGGCTTATTGAATGCGATGTGGCCTATACAATGACTTGCGGGGGCCAGCCGATGTACAAGTCAGTGTTATTATCCTCCCAGACGAATCTGGTACCAATTTACCGTCCCCGGAGGGTAGAAGGCTTGGTTGGCCTGGGATTCGAACCCTAGGACCGCGCGAGTGGTAAGCGCGCCACTTGTCACTACAACACCTCCTGCCCAGTGGATACTGGGCGGGGAAATGCCTTTGAACCTTCAAAGCGAAACCATGACCGGTAGGTACAAGCCCTGCAAGGCAGAGTTCAGACTTCGCGACGGCAGCGCTTCGGTCGCGCGTTCGACGCGATCAATGCAGTCGAAAGCATGCGCATCGATCGCGTCGAACGCGCGACCGAAGCGCTGCCGTCGCGAAGTCTGAACGCTGCCTAACCGTAGTTTAGCGATGTCACACGGCTGCGCGGCACATCTGCTCTATAAGACTATGCTGCGCAACTCGAGTCATGTGCGCTCCTAAGTGTGAGCATCGTGAGTATGTCAGCTCCTGCTAAACTGCATCAGCACCGATGAGAATAACTTGTGGGTTGAAGGGCTTCCAAGATCCCACATCCGCACGGCTAGCACCGCTACTTGGACACACGCTCAGGCATCAGGTATGCTGTCATGGCTCTAGTCTCACATTTTCTTGATTTCATGTTGAGCCTGCAGGAGCGCGAGATTCCCATTTCGCTTTTAGCTGAGTATAATGTGTTTCGGGGAGTTGGAGGAGACAATGCCACTTCTGAGCCACTTCTGAATAATCTACAATAGGAGTAGGAGCGCTGGAATGGATGATACATCATGAAAATTCAGAGATGGTGCGCTCAGCCCGAAGCTTCTTTCCAACTCTTTACCTCGACCTTGAAGGCAGGCTATTCTAGCGCTCAGGCAGTTTGCAAACTGGGATTGCAGACTGGCACATGCCAAGAAGGAAGTCGACGTAAAATTTGCCGGGTTGTGGACTGTGCAAGGAGTACGGTTCTGTGAGCCGTTCGAGAGGCGAAGGGGCCACCCCTTACCTCTCAAACGGCAATCGCTCAGATCACAACTATGTCCGAGACCTACCTAAACGACGGCACAACTGAAGCCAAAGCACTTTTCATGCGCTCTCCAACAAGAATCCCGCTGATGGCAAAGTTTTGAATCCACTGAACTGTCCCCGCGAGGCGATGTCGGAATAGCTCTGGTATGAATTCAGCATCATGAATCGGCATGTAATGACGTGGTGTGAGCACAAAATTCCTGAAGAAAATAAAGAAGTTTTCTCTTCCAGCAAGAACAGAGTGGAAAACTCTGACTGTGAGTCTGAAAATGAAACGTTAATTTAGTAGGGACCAACCACGTTAAGTTAATCAATATTGATGAATTATTTGCTACTATCTAATTTTTTGGAGTTCCTGCCACCCTCTCCCAACTCTTTACGGAAAACCCCTTCATCGGGCTAAGGTGCCGAGAGAATCTGCCTTTATCATGCACCAGTGGCGCACAGGCCTAGAACAGAGGACCACCGTTCAATTCCTTTTTGGGATGCCCACATATTCTACTTCAATTCAGGATCGCAATGGCATATCGGAGGTGGTTCGGCTCACATCGGCAAGAGTTTCTGTAGAAGGCATGTTTTATAACAGAAAACTGCTAAGTTCTTAGATAGTAGTAGTCCTACTGATAAGCACAAGTTAAACTCTTCCAAACTTCACAGCCATGTTTCGAACAAAAACTGCACAAGAGCTGCAATTAACCCACGACAGGGTACAGCGTCGTGATGACGTGAAATGGGTGAGTGTCAGTCAGACCCTCGCCCCCCCCGCCCACCTCCCTCGAAACTACCGCACTTTTTGCCCTAAATGTCCCGGCTTCCTAACCCCCTGGGGAGAGGTAAGCCCCCAAGGCGAATAGGGAATTTCTTAATTTCTTAGAATGTCTCCAACCAGTCCTACACCCACTATTTTTCCGGGATTTCTGGAATTTGGTCCTATTCCCACAAAAATTTCGCTGTCCAGGGAAGATATAGCCAGTGTGAAACGTGAAAAATAAAAGTCAACAACGAGGGAAAATTTTTCCCAACACGGCAACTTCATCTCCTCAATGCCAAAGGCAGCATATGACCCCTTTCTCTCTAGCGGCCAAGCATCGACCTCCCCCCCCCGATAGGTCGCACACAACGTGCTCGTGCCCTGTTAACCACTCCTCGGGCAGCAGTCAACACAAAGAGAAGCTTATGCGTTACGAGGACTAGAAGTATCACAATCGTATCGCTACGTCTGTCGTTTAGATAGGCAATTCGGCGCAAACTCTGTATGAAGCAAGTTCGATCCAAGGAACAACAGTCTTGATGAAATCGCGAGGACACACGAAGTATCCGTTCCTTCGCTTATTTCCAAAAGATATTCAGATAACGAGAGAATGAAAAGTGGATTCGGTATGTAAATAATAAATGTGCAGCAAGCGATCACGTTAGGCGGTGCTGGATTCGAGTTCTCGGCTGAAGGTCAATTCCTTTGCCCATAATCATGATATGAAAAAGTAAAACAAAACTCACAATTCGCCATGAGCCCGCATAGATTCCCCGGTAGCAACCAATGTGTGTTGAGACTCATACAGGACATGGCGTGCCCCATTGAAGATAAATGATGCGATTGTATCAACCTTTCGTGGTAAGGAAAACTGTACTCCAGAGTGTTAAGCAACAAGGTAGCAGAGAGGAGGTGAGAAGGACTAAAGACAGGCATGAGAGGCTTTTTGAGGCCAGAAAATGTCGTTCTTTTGATAAGAGTGTTCGTTGAAAGCGAGACTGCATTTGGATCTTCTCGAAAAGTTGATGTAATCGAGAACTCACTTCGACAAAAGACCTTGTATTAACGTGACGCCTTTCGACTGTCTTAACAGCTCATCTCTTCTTTATCACTAGCGGCTATCGCCTATTGCCTCATTTGCTTCCAATGAGCCCTCTGCCTTTTGTGGGAGTAAGCTGGTCATCCGTTGTAGTGTGACTTGTTGTACAGTTGCAGCTCTTGACATTGTATTAGATTGTATTAAGCAGATGCCCCGACCAAATTGCCGTTGACGGGCAGGTCAACCTGGTTTGTATTTCGAGCAACTTAGTTGTTAGGAATTGTAATACCATGTATACTTGATTTCATTTAAGGTCTGACGAAGCTGTTAAGACAGCGAAAGCTCACCAATAAAGGTGTTTTGTGAACGAGCTTCTCATTATAATTTTCCCAAGAAGATTCAATAATGAATCATGAGGCTCAAGTGGAATAGCTCGATTTTGAAGCATGCATTTGCGAGTGCGAGTCTACGGGCGGAGTCACCTCGACCGTACCGCATTCGTCTAGCTCGCTGCTCACGAAGGGGCGTGTCAGGGGTTATGAGTTTGGCGCGGTACCAAACCCGTTTGCCACCAGTTCTTGATGCGAGCTTGCAAGACATATCGTTCATTTCACTCGTTTTCTAGCAAGTGTTGTCGCATACCCGCTCCAACAGCTAGCAGAGAAAGGGTTTGGCCCGTAGCACGCCCACACTGCCTGACACGCCCTTCATCCGCAGCGAGAACATACTCCCCCTTCCGTTCATCTTGTCATGAGCAGAAAGGGTCGCGATTAGTGAGAAGGTCCCCTTTCTCCAAGCGACTCCGCAAATGTAACTATCGCGGAGTATGACCAGATATCCAATTCTAAAGGGATGAGTTTCAGCTCTGCAAGGCTTCCAAAATAGGCTTCACCTGATTAAGTGTGGCGAATCCATAAGCACATACAGCAAACAGAGTATCAGTCAGAATCAAGTCAAATTTCTCTTCCACCATTCGATTGAAGAAGTCTCGATGTTCTTTCAATACAATTTCACAACTGTCAGCTCCATAGAAAAACGGGAGCATCTGAAATAATCGCCTGCAAAATGGAGACTGGGTGTTCCTCGGATGTTGCAACTGGCAGCATATTTGTTTGTTTTTAACTGGAGTAAGTTCAACGAGTCGGCAACCCCATGGATAATTATAGGCACTACTGAGTCGCTGAAGTCGTTTGGGAGGGAAAGGAGGGCGAGCAACACTTTTCAGCGGACTTTGCGTCCTTCATTCTAACCAGGGCTTGGTGTAGAGTATGTTTTTCTGTGAGAGCGACTCCCGGCGACTATGGTCGTCCGCAATTTAAGTGTAAACCTTGATTAAAGGCACGGGCCGCGATAAAAAGCCTAGGTGATGTTGCAGAAATGTGGAAGAAAATTAGTGAACTGCCTATGTAGGGAAAATGACAAAGAGGACGTTGAAAACGCATTCATTAGGCCTTCTCTACACCGTAGGAGTAAAAGACCGGAAAGACAGCGCGCTGGGACGATTCCCGTCGGCTGATTCGCAGTAGTGAACCTTATGACTTTAGAGACACTGAAGCCTCCACTCCATGATACTTTCCCGGAGGCATTACTTTTGCCGGAAGGCGGAGCCCCAATGAAGAGAGAGGGATGGTACCAGTGGAGAGCAACGTTCGAGCCTCGAATTTCCTTTATCGTAGAACTTCGGTGCCGCGAAACTGGCACGGGTTGTTGAAAGATCAACGATTGAAGGCTCTTCCGATCAGCGGCAATATTGAAGATGAGGATCTCGTCTGAGCACAAGAGGCAAAGAGATTTTGAGCTTTGTGAGCCGACGTGCAAATGGTACGACGCACATTGGTAATCACAGTGTCTGGCTTAAATGAGTTTCGGCTGGTGCTCACCCCAACCCGCCGGACGCGTACTTTATTTCGGATTGATGAATTGTTTCAGACTTACTAAAGAACGCGAACTAGCAGAACCCAACTGGGACCACAAACATTCCAAAGACTGTGTTTGTGGCAAAATCCGTGCTGAATGTATGGAGAAATCAGCTCTTCCCTAATGTCGCGCTGTTCCACCTTACTCTCTTTTGCCGATGACGGAATAACAAGGTTGATCGTCTCTACCCATAGGTCTATGCATGCAGAAATTGTGCCTCCGAGACGAGAAAATGAACGAATTGTGTGCTTCTGGTACTTCTGAAAATAGGTGACTGTTACACACTTACCTGAGCAGTAACGCCGTAATCCTGGGACCACAGAAAAGTCTCAAATTCTTTGCCGGCAAATGGATTGGTGTGATCTGAATGAATTGGGTGTTTGGGATTAATATTCAAAGCTTTGGAACTCCTTATTACGCTTGAATGAAACATTGAGATGACATCATAGCGAGTGGCAGGAGGGAGACAGCGGGCTAGTGTCAGGCACAACCCGGAAATCAAAGGCAGCACTCAAACAGGCGTATGCCTCGTGCATTTTCGGGTTATGCACTTGGCAATGGCCGTTTTTACTGTTATGCCAGTTAAGGGACACCGGAATCACGCTCCCCCTTCTAGCAGCTAGTTGCCTCTGAGCGATCACGCGTTTGTAGGCATACCGTCGGGAGAATTCCATGCTGTTTGTAAGGACGGAGACAACAGTCCACGACCCACTGTACCTTAGCCCAATGCTCCAGTCTCTCCATTTTTGGTGTTAAGCGGTGAAATGTGTGAAAGAAGGTTGCCAAGTGACTCATCCCTGAGGAGAAAGCCAAAAAGAACGTCGGAAACATCTTTAATAAGACTCCTCCAGCCCAAACAATTGCACGAGCTTTGCTGGGGCCGAAACAAGGGGTCTCGCTTCATCGCTTTTGCCTGTAAGGCGACTTGAAGCCAGAGTCTGGAGCGGAGTCCACGGGAAGGAGGTACCACGGGGCCTACTTTGCTAGCATGGTTCCTACAGCTTCCAGGCTTTCGTCAACTAAAAGGGGCACATAAGGTTAGTCTGTCCAGGCCGAGCATGAACTACGGCCCACATGTCGCCTGGCATGCGGACCACACTACCCTCCAATAACGTGCGCCATGACCTCAGAAAATGCGAAGACGTCTTCGCTTTTTCATAGGTCAACGTGAACCATTGCCTTAAAGCTTCATTTGATCTTAACGGGTACGTCACGCGACAGTAATGCAAATCCTCGAGAGTAGGCCATGTTGAAGACGCGAACTCCAACATCCTTATTTGAAACAAATTAACCCTTGAACATGAAAACGTAAAAGTCATGAATTAAGTTGCAACTATTGGGCTTACAGGCCCATAACAAGGCAAGCAGAAGACACGGCAGCACTCATTGTCGCAGCCTACAAGAGCAGTTTGCCATGTACAGACGTGGAATGGGAAGCAACAGTTTGGGAAAAAGTGGTTGAATGGGAGCCACACGCTGGACCATGACTCTTATGACCATGTCCACTCTAACCGCGACTATTAAAAGCCATGTAGAATGATAATTACAGTCCTCATCATTGCGGACCGGTGGGGCGTGTCAGTGCGGCTGCGTTTGGCGCGGTGCCAAAGTCGTTCTGCACCAGTTGTTGAAGCGGGCAAGTGACATTACTGTATTATATCCTTCGTATTACTCGTTTTCTACCACTTTTTGTCGCATACGCGTTGCAAACAAATAAGGCTGAGAACGCCTCAACAGTGTGCAACTCATAGTGGCTGGCCACCGCCCCATGCTGCCCGCAATGATGAGGACTTAGCTTGCAACATTGCAATCAGAAAGGGCGGTGTGAAGCGGGCGGGGGCGAGCTCGTCACCAGCTGTCTTGTTCAACCAGTAGTGAATGACTGATGATCCGTTAAGAAAGAAAACAACCAGTGGTGGTAATGCTGCAGGCACCGACCCGACTGATTGCCGTGATACCAACTGTACACACGTTGCTTTTTTGTTTAGTGAGACGGTGCAGATAAGCAAAGGTGACGTAGCAATTGTCACCTCCGCATGGTTTCCCCACAACCATCGTTGCGCTGACATTCTATCTATGCAGTGGTTCTTTAGGCACTTCTACTTGCTTGAAATACTTGCGGAAATTGTTTAGTAAAATGTGGCTGCTATGCACAACACCTTAGTACACAAGTTATAACGTATTAACTCCTTGGGCATATGCTCTCTGGAGATATATAATTACAACATTTATCGAGTATTAGGTTGCAGTCCTCGTTGCTCACTTTTTAATCCCTAAGGCATGTCGATCCTCCAATCCAAAACTCATCTCATCCGGATACGCCTCCATATAGAGAAACACCTGATGACCGTCATTCTTCAATCTATTAATTAATGGCATAAAAGAGCCGGTATGTGACCGGCCTTGAGGCATTGACGCCAGCAGTATTTTTGCGCCATGTAGAGTATCAGAGAATATAGTTAGAAGTTGTTTAATGAAGGTAGCATAGTTACCTGCAAGCGAAAATGATTAGTGTGGATTCTGGGTAAAAGACCAAATAGTAAAGAAACCGTACTTAAAGGTATCTGACGAAAACCAAAATGAGTTGCATAAGTGAGTGACAGTCAAAGCGCATCAGTCAAAAGGAAGGGATTCTCAGCTTAGGGTATAGCTAATGATGTATTTAATTATTAGGTTGGAAAGAAAGTCCTGAGACTTTTGGAACATACCGCCTGAAAAAAACCAGAGAATTTTGAAAGGATCTTCTACCCCTGGAAATTCATGAATAACTGTTCTGCTGAGGTTTTTGCAGGCATGTATGTAATGGCTTTGTGGAAGCTTAAATTCGTAAAGGAAAGATCAAGGTACTTTCACCTATTCGTATCTTAAAGGCACGCGTCCAGCGTTCAGTTGAGATTTTCCTCTGCCTGCGTGGGCAAGTGTCAAGTCCGCTGAGGCAACAACTACACCGCGGCGCAAAAACGCGTGAGGAGAGCCACGATGCCGTCGTTCTTATCATTGACCCAACCTACAATCATTGGCACCGCCCACCATTCATTTCTAATGGTTACCTGATGGTGCGGTTGTTTCGCTGCTGCTTCTCTCCACGTCGAGTGGTGAGAGTGAGGTGATAAGGGAAAACAGCTGATATCAACAAGTGAGAACTCGTGCGATCGCACCTTCTCTTCGCCTTGAGCACGTACAACCTCAATTAAGCAAGGGGTTCTATATAGAGCCTTTCCTATGATTTCTTGCTGATTTTTCTTTACTGAGGGGTTACTTGCTACCTTGTTATAAGTATTTGAGCCGCAGAACTCATCAAATTTGAATGCGGGTTAGCTTTAAAGACACATGGTACGCTCAAACACATTGAGGGTGTATGAGACTATCAGCCCCCAGCTGTCGATGTGTCGTGGTCCCCCCGCCCAAAACTGCACGGGGTCAGAGTACGGGGCCGTGGGAAAGTCGTAATTCCTTGCTACGCCGCCGTTTCGCAAACTCACGTTTATGCTAACAGCCGTCCGCGCGGCGCGTGTCGCGTGCAGCTCTTGGCTTTTTGCCAAGTCCTGTAATTGCGCTTTGGAATACAAGTAAACGCAATTTCTTCATGCGGATAACATTTTAGGTGCTGCAAAATAAGAACCGAAGATGATGACGGGCTAGAACTCAGAGCAACTGTGGTGCTTCTGCAATATCCCTCAGAGGCCGCGGCATTCCCACAGGGACATGACAATAAAACGGGCAACTTTGACAATAAAACAATTGGAGATACAAGCAAAACTCGAATTTATAAAGTTTGAGGTATTGCTCATGTTCAAGTCCGAATAGAAGGTGATGAAGATGACAAAGGCTAGAAATGAAGAACAACGAATGTAGATGTAAATAAAACAAAATTGAAAAAACTAAGGAAACGCAATAAATTAAAATCGCGTGTGCATTTCTGCGATCCGGCTCGAATCCGGCTCTAAAGCTATAGAAATACTTCAAACTAACGAGTGGGACGCTTAGGCCGTTTTTATTGTCATGTTCTGTGGGAATGCGCGGCCGGAATGCAGCACAGTTGCTCTTGAGTTCTAGCCTCGTCATCATCTTCGGTTCTTATTTTTGCAGCAGGCCTACAGATTTTCCGCATAAAGAATTGCGTTTGTATGACTGTTTTCCAAAGCCGATTTACAGGACTTGGCAAAAAGCACAAGAGAGCTGGCAGCGTCGCGCGTTCGCGACGGACAGGTGTTAGCTAAAAACGTGGGTTCAGCGAAACTGGCGCGAGCATAGGATTCGACTTTCCAAGGCTTCCTTACTTGACCCGTTGCAGTTTTTGGGCGGTGAGGACCACGAACATCGGACGGTGGGGTGTGACAGTCTCATTTCACCTCAATGTGGAGCGTACCATGATGTCTTCAAGTGCTCCCTGTAGGGCTGCACTCGTTCGTAGTATGAGGAAACAGGTACGCGTCTTCAGGAGGATGGGCGTTGTCTGTAGGGACCGTACCGCTTGTATTAAGTGCTTGCGAGTTGGATTGCCCCCCTTCTATACTCAAGGTTGGACAGTTACGATGGCAGCCGTTTATTCAAAACCCTAGAGACATTGCCCAACGTAATCACCAGTAAGCTAGCTACAGCTCTAGGGTGCACCTAAGTGACAGCTGCCATGATTCTCCACAATACCTGTCACAGGGAAAATTTCTTACTATTAGAATGTGTGGGCTTTCTCTTCTTTTGTACACATTGGAAGGACTTAACGATGTTTTGCTGGTCACCAGAGCTGGGTTCCTTAATGGTAGGCAGTGCACCATCGTCACAAAACTCTCCTGATCTGAGCAGAAACAGTCTGCGCGCGTTACGAACAGCGATTGCATCGAAAAGGTTTTACTGTTTATCAGTGCGGACTTCAGAGCGAATGGTTTATCAGTACACCTGTGACGGCCACAGTCGACAATGATCAACTTCGAAAAATGGATGACGTAACGCTTTGTCTCATTCAGAAACACTCAATTTCTTTCCTTTCCTCGACTATGTGAAGTTCGCATGTAGGGATGAGGCCTACTAAAGTTTATGAAGCGTGGTTAGAGATGCGACCGTACCCAGTCTACTCAATAGATTCAAGCTGTTATAGTTTGATAACTACTGTTTAACGCCGCAGTGCGCAAAGTTATCACATGAATGCTGAGTCATGTGCAAAGTCGAACCACGAAGGATGGTTAGCGGAAGGTGCGGGTTCGAATCCCGTCCGTGGTCCGACTTTTGCCCACAACTCGATAGACTTAGTAGCTTCTGAATGCCATCTACTTTGGTAAACGTCCACTCGAAAATGAGGTCCACCTCTTCTTTTCATCGTAGTTGCCGTAGTTCTGCAAGGATGGAATCGAGAAGCTGTGAGAGAAGCTGGACGCTTGTTCTAGTTTTCAGTAGTGATTA